TTCAGATGGTCAGTAATTCACTGTAGACATGTTGAACTGAAGTCTCCAGACAACTCAATGGTAAATCTGACGTCATTTTGACTAATCAGAATATAATTAGAGAGATCTTAAATTGCTAAAACGTCTCGTCATAAAACAAGTAGCGATATCTGGAATGTAAGGGCGGCAAAACCGAATTTATGTTAAAACGGCTTGCCATAGGCGTTCCGTCTGATTCCTACTGGACTCAAACCGCCTTCCAGTCAGACCTGAACTGGAAAACTTTCTTTTCTAGATGAGAATGAGGCGTGATTTCATCTAGCTACTGGGGATGAAGATGAGGAAGAGCTGGAAAACGGCGGAGACAACCGCTAGCTAGGCTAACAGTGGGCTGGCTAGGCTAACAATGGGCTAGCTAGGCTAACAGTCGGCTAGCAGCAGCTGGTTGGAGTCAGCTTGAGGTTCTGCAGAACCGGGCGGGTTCCTGAAGTCGCTCTAATGGAAACATTTCAAGTTAAACAGAAACATTTACAGTTCAAACAGAGTTAGGAGGAAATAACTGAAAACAGTTTTCATTTAGCTGGTTTTACTTCACTGAATAAAAATAATCTGACCTTCCTGAGCTTTTTCAATCTCTACTTGTGCTGCGAATTACATGAATGAATATATAAAATCTAAATGAATAAAATGTTTTAAATAAAGCAAAAATATAAAAACAACAAAGTGATTAAAATATGAAGTAAGAAACATTTTTCTGGCTGGTCAGTTTAAGGTTCAGAAAAATTTTATTATTGCGTTTCATCAATAAGACAAAAGAACCGAAAAGAGTCTGCAAAGAGCTGCTGCTAGAACCGACACCATCTGATGGATGGATGATGGATGGATGATGGATGGATGATGGATGGATGGATGGATGATGGATGATGGATGGATGGATGGATGATGGATGGATGGATGGATGGATGATGGACGGATGGATGATGATGATGGATGGATGGATGGATGATGGACGGATGGATGGATGATGGATGGAGATGGATGATGGACGGATGGATGGATGATGGATGGATGGATGATGGATGGATGGATGGATGATGGATGAGGATGGATGATGGGATGGATGGATGGATGGATGGATGATGGATGGATGGATGGATGGATGGATGGATGGATGATGGATGGATGGATGGATGGATGGATGGATGGATGGATGATGGATGGATGATGATGGTGATGGATGGATGGATGGATGATGGATGGATGGATGATGGATGGATGATGGATGGATGATGGATGGATGGATGGATGATGGATGGATGATGGATGGATGAGGAGGATGATGGATGGATGGATGGAGGATGGATGGATGATGGACGGATGGATGGATGGATGGATGGATGGATGGATGGATGATGGATGGATGGATGGATGGATGATGGATGGATGATGGATGGATGGATGGATGATGGACGGATGGATGATGGATGGATGGATGGATGATGGATGGATGGATGGATGGATGGATGATGGATGGATGATGGATGGATGATGGATGGATGGATGGATGATGGATGGATGGATGATGGATGGATGATGGATGGATGATGGATGGATGATGGATGGATGGATGGATGATGGATGGATGGATGGATGGATGGATGGATGATGGACGGATGGATGGATGATGGATGGATGGATGGATGGATGATGGACGGATGGATGGATGATGGATGGATGGATGATGGATGGATGATGGATGATGGATGGATGGATGATGGATGGATGATGGATGGATGGATGGATGATGGATGGATGGATGGATGGATGGATGGATGGATGATGGATGGATGGATGGATGGATGGATGGATGGATGGATGATGGATGGATGATGGATGGATGATGGATGGATGGATGGATGATGGATGGATGGATGATGGATGGATGATGGATGGATGATGGATGGATGGATGGATGATGGATGGATGATGGATGGATGATGGATGGATGATGGATGGATGGATGGATGATGGACGGATGGATGGATGGATGGATGGATGGATGGATGGATGATGGATGGATGGATGGATGGATGATGGATGGATGATGGATGGATGGATGGATGATGGACGGATGGATGATGGATGGATGGATGGATGATGGATGGATGGATGGATGGATGGATGATGGATGGATGATGGATGGATGATGGATGGATGGATGGATGATGGATGGATGGATGATGGATGGATGATGGATGGATGATGGATGGATGATGGATGGATGATGGATGGATGGATGATGGATGGATGATGGATGGATGATGGATGGATGATGGATGGATGGATGGATGATGGACGGATGGATGATGGATGGATGGATGGATGGATGGATGATGGATGGATGGATGGATGATGGACGGATGGATGATGGATGGATGGATGGATGGATGATGATGGATGGATGGATGGATGGATGGATGATGGATGGATGATGGATGGATGATGGATGATGGATGGATGATGGATGGATGGATGGATGGATGGATGGATGGATGGATGGATGATGGATGGATGATGGATGATGGATGGATGGATGGATGGATGGATGATGGATGGATGGATGATGGATGGATGATGGATGGATGGATGATGGATGGATGGATGATGGATGGATGGATGATGGATGGATGGATGATGGATGATGGATGGATGGATGATGGATGGATGATGGATGGATGGATGATGGATGGATGATGGATGGATGGATGGATGGATGGATGATGGATGGATGATGATGGATGGAGGATGGATGATGGACGGATGGATGATGGATGGATGGATGGATGATGGATGGATGGATGGATGGATGGATGGATGATGGATGATGGATGGATGATGGATGGATGATGGATGGATGGATGGATGATGGACGGATGGATGATGGATGGATGGATGGATGGATGGATGGATGATGGATGGATGGATGGATGATGGACGGATGGATGATGGATGGATGGATGGATGGATGATGGATGGATGGATGGATGGATGGATGGATGATGGATGGATGATGGATGGATGATGGATGATGGATGGATGATGGATGGATGGATGGATGGATGGATGGATGGATGGATGGATGATGGATGGATGATGGATGATGGATGGATGGATGGATGGATGGATGATGGATGGATGGATGATGGATGGATGATGGATGGATGGATGATGGATGGATGGATGATGGATGGATGGATGATGGATGGATGGATGATGGATGATGGATGGATGGATGATGGATGGATGATGGATGGATGGATGATGGATGGATGATGGATGGATGGATGGATGGATGGATGATGGATGGATGATGGATGGATGGATGATGGATGGATGGATGGATGATGGATGGATGGATGGATGGATGATGGATGGATGATGGATGGATGGATGGATGATGGATGGATGATGGATGGATGATGGATGGATGATGGATGGATGATGGATGGGATGGATGATGGATGGATGGATGGATGATGGATGGATGGATGATGGATGGATGATGGATGGATGGATGATGGATGGATGATGGATGGATGGATGATGGATGGATGATGGATGGATGGATGGATGATGGATGGATGATGGATGGATGATGGATGGATGGATGATGGATGGATGATGGATGGATGGATGATGGATGATGGATGGATGGATGGATGGGATGGATGATGGATGGATGGATGGATGGATGATGGATGATGGATGGATGATGGATGGATGGATGATGGATGGATGGATGATGGATGGATGATGGATGGATGGATGATGGATGGATGATGGATGGATGATGGATGATGGATGGATGATGGATGGATGGATGGATGGATGATGGATGGATGATGGATGGATGGATGATGGATGGATGGATGATGGATGGATGGATGGATGATGGAAGGATGATGGATGGATGATGGATGGATGGATGGATGATGGATGGATGATGGATGGATGATGGATGGATGATGGATGATGGATGGATGATGGATGATGGATGGATGGATGGATGGATGGATGATGGATGGATGATGGATGGATGATGGATGGATGATGGATGATGGATGGATGGATGGATGATGGATGGATGATGGATGGATGATGGATGGATGGATGATGGATGGATGGATGGATGGATGGATGATGGATGATGGATGGATGATGGATGGATGGATGGATGGATGGATGATGGATGGATGGATGATGGATGGATGGATGGATGGATGGATGATGGATGATGGATGGATGATGGATGATGGATGATGGATGGATGATGGATGGATGATGGATGATGGATGGATGATGGATGGATGATGGATGGATGGATGGATGGATGATGGATGGATGGATGATGGATGGATGATGGATGGATGGATGATGGATGGATGATGGATGGATGGATGGATGATGGATGGATGATGGATGGATGGATGATGGATGGATGGATGGATGATGATGGATGGATGGATGGATGATGGATGGATGGATGATGGATGGATGATGGATGGATGATGGATGGATGGATGGATGATGGATGGATGGATGATGGATGGATGATGGATGGATGGATGATGGATGGATGGATGGATGGATGGATGGATGATGGATGGATGGATGGATGGATGATGGATGGATGGATGGATGATGGATGATGGATGGATGATGGATGGATGGATGGATGGATGATGGATGGATGATGGATGGATGATGGATGGATGATGGATGGATGGATGATGGATGGATGATGGATGATGGATGGATGATGGATGGATGATGGATGATGGATGGATGATGGATGATGGATGGATGATGGATGATGGATGATGGATAATGGATGATGGATGGATGGATGATGGATGGATGATGGATGGATGATGGATGATAGATGGATGGATGGATGGATGATGGATGATGATGATGGATGGATGATGGATGGATGATGGATGGATGATGGATGGATGATGGATGGATGGATGATGGATGGATGATGGATGGATGATGGATGGATGATGGATGATGGATGGATGATGGATGGATGATGGATGGATGGATGATGGATGGATGATGGATGGATGATGGATGGATGATGGATGGATGATGGATGATGGATGGATGATGGATGGATGATGGATGATGGATGGATGATGGATGGATGATGGATGGATGATGATGGATGGATGATGGATGGATGATGGATGGATGATGGATGATGGATGGATGATGGATGGATGATGGATGATGGATAATGGATGATGGATGGATGATGGATGGATGGATGATGGATGGATGATGGATGATGGATGATGGATAATGGATGATGGATGGATGGATGATGGATGGATGGATGATGGATGGATGATGGATGGATGATGGATGGATGATGGATGGATGGATGATGGATGGATGATGGATGATGGATGATGGATGGATGATGGATGGATGGATGATGGATGGATGATGGATGGATGATGGATGGATGATGGATGGATGATGGATGATGGATGGATGATGGATAATGGATGATGGATGGATGATGGATGGATGATGATGGATGGATGATGGATGGATGATGGATGATGGATAATGGATGATGGATGGATGATGGATGGATGGATGATGGATGGATGATGGATGGATGGATGATGGATGGATGATGGATGGATGATGGATGGATGATGGATGATGGATGGATGATGGATGGATGATGGATGATGGATGGATGATGGATGGATGATGGATGATGGATGGATGGATGATGGATGGATGGATGGATGGATGGATGGATGATGGATGGATGATGGATGGATGATGGATGATGGATGGATGATGGATGGATGATGGATGATGGATGGATGATGGATGGATGGATGATGGATGATGGATGGATGATGGATGGATGGATGGATGGATGGATGGATGGATGGATGGATGGATGGATGGATGATGGATGGATGATGGATGGATGATGGATGATGGATGGATGGATGGATGATGGATGGATGATGGATGGATGGATGGATGGATGGATGGATGGATGGATGATGGATGGATGGATGGATGATGGATGATGGATGGATGATGGATGATGGATGGATGATGGATGGATGATGGATGATGGATGGATGATGGATGGATGATGGATGATGGATGGATGATGGATGGATGATGGATGATGGATTGTTTACCTGCATCCACGTCAGCTAGATTATCAAAGCGTCCCAGAAAGCAGCGAGAGAGGAAACACAAAGCAGAGTGAGGTCAGAGGGTGAAGGACATGCAGAGGTCACAAAGAGGTCACAAAGAGGTCACAGAGAGGTCACAGAGAGGTCACAGAGAGGTCACAGAGAGGTCACAGAGAGAGGACAGCAGGCTCAATCATCTGCCTCCTGTTCTGGATACGTTTCCTCCTGGTTTCGGGGTCAGAGGTCGGAGGTCTGGCAGGTTCCCGACCTCTGCTAACGGCAGCGCTGGTCTGTCTGAGCGTCCTGAACTCACCGCGGAGCGGGAAGACCCGCCGGGCCGGCCGCCGCTCCAGAACCAGAATAGTTCTGGTCTGTGGTCCGGCTGCGTTGCCACGGTAACCCTGCGTATTTTTAGAGCGGAGGAATGCGCTTCCTGCTGGAGAGTCCAGCTGCTGCTGAACCGGACCAGAACCGGACCACAACCGGACCACAACCGGACCACAACCGGACCACAACCGGACCAGAACGGTCCAAACATGCAGTAAAAGAAGAACAACTTATGTACTAATGTAAATAAAAATATAGAAATACGTAAAAGAATAAATGATGGGATAAGAGTCGGTTCTGACCGGTTCTGTTCAGCAGAACCTTCCTGCAGTGAAGCTGGGTCTGTGGATGTTCTGGTCGGGTCCGGGAAGAGGAGACCCTCTAACCCGGTTCTGCTCATTTTTCTGGTTAATTTCTGATCAGAACCCAGAGGAATCGGGTCGGGCCGACGCCAGAACCCCTCACCTTCAGGAGACTCTTCTTCCTGGACGTAGGTTCCTGTCAGGTACCGGTGGACCAGCGCCGACTTCCCGCTGGCCAGATTACCCACAATGCCCTGCGAGGAGAAAGAACCGGGCGGTTACTTCTGATCGGACCGGACCGGGCCGACTGTCACACGGAACCGGGACTCACCACTTTGAGTTCTGGTACGGTCCGGCTGAGGGTCCACTCCTGGCTGTTGACGAAGGCGTCTGAGGAGAAAGCAGCAGTTAGTTGGGTCGGGTCGGTCCAGAACCAGGACCGACCCGACTGTTCATATGCAGCACCACAAAACCCAAAACATGAGCCCAAGTTGGTTCTGATTCTGCAAAGACCCGGAAACCAGAAAAACATGAGAATTTATTCTAAAAATCAAAACATTCACTGTAAAACTGAAATCCTTGATATTGATATAAATTATTGCTATAGAGGCCCAGATCTATATATACCAGACAAGGTGCAGGTTGAGCCCTGAGACAGTCCAGCACATCACAGCAGGGTGCAAGATACTGGCAGGGAACATGGAGCGGGCCACGCCCCCTACACAACTAGCCACGCCCCCTACACAACAGGCCACGCCCCCTACACAACTAGCCACGCCCTCTGACGACTGCCCAACAGGCCACGCCCCCTGCCCCATCCCAGCAGAGGGAGACAGAACCAGAACCTCCTGATGTTGGGTTCTAAGTGGTTCTGATCCGTTCTTGTAGACGGGTTCTGCTGGGGTTCTCTGGACCCGGCTGGTTCTGCAGAACAAATGCCGTCTGTTTGCAGGTCAACCCGTCTGACAGGTAACACACCTGGAGGAAGAGGAGCGGCTCTTCATCATCCGCTGCTCTGTCTGTCCTCCTGATGACTCTACAGGAAGGGGGTCCAACATGCGGCCCGGGGGCCAGGAGTGGCCCATTCACTTCCTGAACTCAGATCTCCATGGCAACGCCATATTTTACATATTTTACAACAAGAGACCAGAGAGAGAACCAAACTGGACTGGCAGGTCTCTGGACCAGAACCAGAACCGGTCCAACAGAACCGGTCCAACAGAACCGGTCCAACAGAACCAGCAGTGGAGCCATGATCCCATCAGATTCAGAGCAGAACAGCATGAAGAGCAGGAAACACACACACACACACACACACACACACACACACACACACACACACACACACACACACACACACACACGGTGTGACCTATATCTGAGCCTGCAATCAGCAGACCATCCCCCCTCCCCCGCCTGCTGCTGGCAGCCTGCCGCCTGGCTGCTGCTCTTCCTCCTCCTCTTCCTCTCTAGCCGGGTTCTGGCTGTCCTCTCAGGGCGGCCCGGGGCGGAGGCCGGGCGTCTGGTTCTGTTGGACCTACAGGTTCTGACTTCTTCAGAAAACCTGATGGTTGGAGCCGGGTCAGAGGTTCTGGTCCATTACTCTTCAGTTTTATTCCTCCTGGACTTTCAGTTTAATTAGTTTATTTCCAGGTTTATTAGTCAAATGTGGTTCGCTAGTTTTAGTTTTTTTATAGTTTTCGATGCTTCAGTCAAAAGGTTCTATTATTATCTTTACATAATAGATATTTCCTGCAGTTTCTCAACTTTTCTCAGTTTTGAGACGTTTGTAGCTCCGTATTTTTCCATCAGCTGATCTAAGCGGATCGTTTCACATCAAACTGAAACGCTAACAAATAAATAAATAAAACAAAAGTCATAATTTAAGGTTTGATAAAAGCACGATATCATTTCAGTTATAGTAATAACTATAACTAATAATAATAATAAGTAATAATTATTAGTTACAGTTTTATCTGTTTCACTTTTCGTGAGTTTTCCTCCGTTAGCATTAGCATTAGCTAACGGTGCCGTTTCTACCGACAAGCTAACAGCTTCATCTACAAAAGTTCCGTCAGTAGCAGCAGCCAATCACAGGCTGGGATTTTCTCGTCCAATCAGAGCTCTCCTTGTAAATACTGGCTGAGCAACCAATCACAGCCAGCAAATCTAAATGCTGCAGGAACAACAAATACTTGAACTTTGAGAATATTTGGTGTTAAATATTATGACTTTATTTTATGAACTAATTATTTTAATTGAATTCAGTCTGAAATGTGACCAGATTTACATCTTTTATTTTAATTCTATATTCTGTGTTTGGGTTTTTAAACTGGTTCTGGTTGAAAAAGAACCAGAACCAGAACCAGCTCCTGCTGGCCCATCCTGACTCAGCATCAGGCTCTTTATTTTTAGATGTCTGTCTGAAGTTTTACTTCCTGGTTCTGACCCGGTACCCTGGGCTCTTATTGTGAAGCTTCAGGATAACTGGATCAGCTCGGTCCCAGTCTGACCGGGTCAGACGTTGATTCCAGAGCGGGTCGGATCAGCGGCGGGGGGCGGGGCCTGTGAGGACGACCCGCCTGATTGGCCGGACCTCAGGAAGCGAACCACAGAGCACAGCGGAGGACGTGTGATGCTGCGGGACCAGAACCAGATCAATAAACCCTGGGGGCCGAGAGAGCAGCCCTGCTGACCTCATTTCCTGTCACTAAAGCTGCTACTGAGCGCGCTCAGTTCAGGAGGACTTTACTTCTGCTTGGCCGAGGATGTAGGTCACACACACACACACACACACACAGAGACACACACACCACACACACAAACACACACACACACACACAGAAACACACACACACACACACATACACACACACACACACACACACACACAGAGACACACACACACACACACACACACACACACAGAGACACACACACACACACACACACACACACACACACACACACACACAGAGACACACACACACACACACACACACACACACACACACAGAGACACACACACACACACACACACACAGAGACACACACACACACACACACACAGAGACACACACACACACACACACACACACGCCCACACACAAACACACACACACACACACACACACACAAACACACACACACAGAAACACACACACAGAAACACACACACACACACAAACACACACATACACACACACACAGAAACACACACACATACACACACACACAGAAACACACACACACACACATACACACATACACACACACACAAACACACACAGAAACACACACACACACACACACACATACACACACACACACACACACACACACACACACACACACAGAAACACACACATACACACACACACACAGAAACACACACACACACACATACACACATACACACACACACAAACACACACAGAAACACACACACACACACACACACACATACACACACACACACACACACACACACACACACACTTGTTTCTTGTTTCTTCTTGTTTCTGGAGACAAGAATCGTTTCCAGTGAAAATCTCTGATTCATTTTCTGGATTCTGGGTAAATTAATAATCTGATCTATAGTTTAGAATCATAATCTCCACATCTTAGATGAAAATAATCGGATAATTTGTTTCACAGATGAACCTGCAGGTTCTGGTTCTTTTGGACCGGGTGTGCTGCTGCCTCCGGTGCGGTTAGCATGGTTACCGTCGGCTCCGCCCCGGTCGCGCCGCGTCGACCCGCCGGCCCCGGGGCTCCAGACCGGGCCGGGCCTGGAGAAGAACCCGCTGAAGAAGCGTCCCAGCCGCCGGTCGTCCCCCCGCGGCGTGGCGCCGTCGCCCTGGGCGTCCCGCCGCTGCAGGTCGCTGTTGTCCAGCGTGCGGTTCTTGGCGGCGCCGGCCTCCTGACGGCTCAGCTCGGCCAGCGAGTCGGCCCTGCTGAGGACGGCCCCGATCTCCAGGGTTCGGCTTTTCTCCCGGGTGCTGGGGGGCGGGGTGGTGGGCGGGGCCCGTGCGGTGGGCGGGGCCTGCGGCAGCCCGTCTCCAGACGCGGCGCGGAGCCGCAGCAGCTCTCCGCTGATCCGGGTCCGGACGCTGAAGCTGAAGCTGCGCTGCAGCAGGCCGGGCTTCGGGGGGGCCCCGGGCCGGGCCGGGCCCCGGTCCTCCATGCTGCGGGCCTTCAGGAGCCTCCTCACCTTGGCCGCGGCGGTTTCGGGCCGCGGTTCGTCGCGCTGCCCCCGGCGGGACGCCCTGAGCCGGCCCAGCTCCAGCTGACCCATGCTGAACGTCCTGAACCTCCTCACGATGCCGCCCTGAGCCGCCGCCGGCTCTGGCTCCTCCTCCTCCGGCACGCCGCCCCCACGCCCCGCCTCCTCCCGCGACCCTCCCAGGTTCTCCCTCTTCACCAGCGTCAGGGAGATCCGGTACACCGTCTTCCTCTGAGGCGCTCCCCTCTCCATCAGCATCCTGATGCTCCAGATGTTTCTCACTGACCCGGCTCCGCTCCGGCCGCCATGGCGGCCACCCCTCCGGGCTGCTGCTCCTCCCCCCGCTTCACCTGGGACCAGAGCGCCGCCGCCGCCTCAACGCTTTCAGCTGCCGCCGAGCAACGAGGAACTCCAGAGCGCTGCTGCTGTCTGAGCCGCTCCACTGCTCACTGACACCCACACAGAGCCGGGAGGGCAGGAAACCTGGAGCGGAGCGCCGGGGAGGAGCCGGGAGGGCAGGAAACCTGGAGCGGAGCGCCGGGGAGGAGCCGGGAGGGCAGGAAACCTGGAGCGGAGCGCCGGGGAGGAGCCGGGAGGGCAGAAAACCTGGAGCGGAGCACCAGAGGCGGACTGAGGCGGAGCTTCACTCACTGACCAACATTCCTGAGAAAGTCTGGCGGAGGGAAAAACTGCCTCTAATCTGAACTCTGAGCTGCAGTCTGTTTAATTATGACAACTAATAAACCGAATAATAACATAACTGAATGTACTGGGTGTCCAAATCGTGGCCTGGGGCCAGTTGTTGCCCTTCAAATGAGTTTGTTCGGCCCGACTACAAGTCAACAAATGAAGAAATGATATTTTTCTTAATAAGGCAACAATCCAAAACATGTTTATGTTTTCATATATAGATTTTAGAAAAATGATTATTAAACAGGCAAAACGTAAATGATAAATAAAAAGTTTGGACACCTTTGGATGAACTGCAGGTGTCCAAACTTTGGAGACGTCCAGGGAGATTTGAAAGGAACTGAAACAGTTTCATCTTTTACGGTTAATAATCCAAACGGATCGTGGTTCTGGACAGCAGAGCGTCTCAGGCGAACATTCTGGTCTCCAGCAGGAACTCCAGTCCAGGTTTTCCAGCCTGCTCTCTCTCCAGCGCTGGCTCTTCCTCCTCCTCTTCCTCCCTGCAGCCATGCAGGCTCAGGCAGATCTGCAGCTCTGACAGCAGACTCCCAGTCCCAGCTCGTCCCACCTCCCTCCCAGTTTGGGCCGGTTCCTCTGACCAGAACCAGAACCAGAGCAGAACCAGAGCAGAACCCAACATGTTCCCTCCATGCAGAGCTGCTGCAGCTGCCATGTTGGTCCAGCTGTTTGCAGACGATGCTGTGGTTCAAGTGAAACCCCCTCATCCTCTCTGGGTCT